GAGAGAGAGAGTGAGAGAGAGAGAGAGAGAGAGAGAGAGAGAGAGAGAGAGAGAGAGAGAGAGAGGAGAATGCTGTAAACTGGTGATGTATATTTTAGTCAGAACTACCTTGAAATGCATTATTTACCAAAAATATATTTTTTAAAATATCTAAATGGTAGAAATTTCAGATACCTTAACTAAAGAATCAGAAGTTCAAGCCAGCTTCACCTACATAGCAAATTCAAGACCTGGACTATGAGACCATTGTAGCATGAATCTTAAAAGTTCTTATTAATAAAACAAACCTGGAGCCAAGTATTGGGGTGAAGCTGGAAGATCAGAGAACCAGAACAAGCCACAGCTAACCTCACCTGGCCAACTTCTCAGCTGGTCTTGTTTCCTCAGACTGGAGGCTTCTGTGTCCTCATCCCAATGGCTCTCAGCTGAACTGCTTGAAAGCCTGAAGCTTAACCAGCTAAAAGCTTAACCAGCCAAATGCTTCTAGTTTCTGGCCCTCACGCCTTATATACCTTTCTGCTTTCTACCACCACTCCCTGAGATTAAAGGCATGAGTCCTTGAACTCATGGATTTCTGCCTCTGGAATGCTAGGATTAAAGGCGTGTGCTACCACTGCCTATCCTCATGTTTAATATTGTGGCTGTTCTGTCTCTGACCCCAGATAAGTTTATTAGGGTGCACAATATTTTGGGAAACACAATACCACCACAGACCATGTCTAAAAAAAATGTAAAAATAATGACTATGCCCATCTATTTGTATATGTTCATCATAAAAAAGACAGGATTGATTTGAGTAGAATAGTATTTCAAGAGTTGATTTCAGTTATTTGCAAAGTTTTTAAAAATAATTTTAAAAATATAATTTCTTCTTGACATTTGGAAACTAGCTAAGAACCAATTAATCTTTATTGATCTGAAGATAAGTGCAAGACCGGCTTGGGTGGAGGGCCTGCTGTGGTAGTTGGTGGTGCCTATGTGGAGGTGAGGAGCAGTCTGGGATGAGGCAAGAACTCCTGCCTGGTCCACTGAGAAAGAGCGGCAGTGCTTCCTGGGGAAAGACTCGGTCACCTCTGTACTTAGGACCAGGACAAGTTTTCATAGATTTAAGGAGCACAGAATTAGAGAGCACGTGAAGTGATTCTATAAATGCTCCTTCCTAGGGGAACTCTGGGGTGAGGTGATATGAGGGAAGGAGAGGCAGGTGCAGCCAACAAACCACGGGTGACGACTGGTAGGTGTGAGTGAGGCACAGCAGAAAAAAGAAAAAGTGAGTGGAGAGGTGGATCACAAGAGTCCTAAACAGTGCGCTGAGCTCGGTCCTTCATTTTACCTGTGTGGAGACGAGAAGTGAGCTGAGTGAGGTATTACTTCTCTGTTGTTCTTCAAAGAAGTTTTCTTTCAATGAAGCCTGTGGGAGTTCCTGAGTAGAGGGGGAGCTTTTGTTGGTTTACTGTTTATTTTGTCCTAAGTAGACGGGACTGTGTAGAGTTTCTGTGTAAACTGTGGAAAAGCCTCCGTGATGCTTGTGAGAACTTGAAGTGTTAGCCTTGAGCAGAGCCGTCCCTTCTTCTGATGCTGAGAGCCGAGAAAGTGGAGCGGGTTCAAGAAGTGTAGTGTTTCATAGGTTAGAGGTAAGGCTCCGGGCCATTTGTGAGAAAGGTTTCCGAGGAAGCAGGACAAAGCGCTAAGAGAGAAAGGAGGTAAAGGCTTAGAGAAAACCAGGAAGCCTTGAGGTAGGTTGCCTTATGTGGAAGCATATTGCTGTATTACTGGTTTGAATAGACTCACTTTAATTTTGAACTTCTTGTAGGAGTATCCCATCAGTAATCTATGAACCACAAATCCTTGGTATCTGTTCCAGGCTCAGACAACCCTGATTATAAAAGGAAGCTTCTCAGTGACTACTTCACATTTGAATTCTTATTGTACTAGTATAATGCACTCATTTGACAGGTTAGAGAGGAAGGATTTCCTGCACTTAACTACAGTAAACTTTCCATTCAGTTCACTACAACTGGTTCACACTTCTCTGTCCTGGCCTCTAAAGAAAACATCTGAGTCCTTAGAGCATGTTCAGGTTTTTCCTTAAAATACTATAAACTCCTCATTTTATACAGTTCACTGTCCTGCAAACCAAAGCAACACAGTTACTCTTAGAATGCATGTTCTGAGATGGAAGAATGGCAGCTGTCTGGGAAAGACATGAATTTGTGAATCTTTAACAGGATAGTGTCAGTGTATTTTCAATTTTAATTTTAAACCAATTTTTGAAGAATCACCAAAGGTTGAAAATTCACGAAGTTCTAGTTCTGGTAAAAGTAGCATATGATCTAAAATTGGCTGATGTGATTAGACTTGTAAATATGCATGGAAGTGAGTGCTCTATCTTTCCTAGGGGTTTTAAATTGTAGTTACTAAAAGAGAAATAATTATTAGAGTGATTAATCTTTTGCGTTAAGTTTTATGTTGGGGCAATAAGATTTTTAACACTACTGGAAAATGAGCCTTGCATGTTTTACATGAAGCTGCTTATAGCCTGAAAGAGCAGAGAAAACAGTTTTGTAACTAACTTGGCAGAGGATCTAGGCATTTTTTTCCCTTTTCCTTATGATAAATTCTATTCAAATTCTGTGCTTTTAGCTTTCTCCAGTATGGAGGTATTAAACTGACTCTGGCAAACTGTGGTTTTGCATGAAGCAAGCAGAAAAGTGTGTTGTGAAAAGAGGGTCGATGGGGACGGGGCAGACTATCTTAGCCAACCTTTCTGCTGTTGTGAAGTTATTAAGCAATCTTTTCCACAGCATCTCTTTCAGAAACAGATGTTGCTTCACTCTACTTAATGGTTATTATTATTTTTCTTCCTCTAAGTGAAATTCTGAATATATGTCAGATCACTTTGAAAATCTTTTGACTTCTAATTTCAAATCCCCACCAATAATAATTGATAGCTATCTCAAATCTTATAAATTGAGTTACCTGCTCTATAATGTTGCTACTCAACACTTTATTAACATTTGAATAGTATCCAAAAAAAGATGTCAAGAAAGATCAGAATCATAAAAATTGCTTAGGGAAAACATGTAATTATTGTGCTTCCCCCCACACACATCAATGTGTTTTAAAAAGAGTGTTGAGTCTTCTTGTTTGAGCAGAGGCATTTAAGCACCCTGTTCTAACTTTCTACCACTCATTTTTGCTTTAGCACAGATGAAGCTCTAAAGAGGAAGATTATGAAAGACACGTCATGTATATATCCAGAACCATGGCGTAGCTATAGACTTAGAATTATGTAATTAAAACCCTACTATACACCTGTTCATTTGTATCACACTTTAGATACACTGTTTAACATGTCTGAAAATAATTTCCAATAATACAAAAGAAAAACTGACAAGTGGCTCTAACAAGAGGTTAATTAGTTAAGTGATGAATATATTTTCATATGTAGAACTTCCACTAAAAACAAAGAACTCTGAATAATTACTTAATACATCATCTACATTAGATTTGCCTGATTATCTGATGGATGATACTGATACCTAATACTTACGCAGTATGACATTTGTATCACACTTTATACTTTATTTTTACAGATAGAAGTATTTGATTTTTTTATAACACAGACAAAAGCCCTGCCATTGAAAAATGCCACCAGCACTCTTTAATCTATTTATTGTATTGTCTAGTACTTGATAATTAACATGTAAATAGAATAATATAATTCCATATCACCTTTATTGGCACATTCATATTAAGTCACAAATAGAACTTTTATTGATATCTCCATTTATAGACTATTGATAAAGCTCAAAGATTTTCTTTGTTATTTTAGTAGCATATAGTTAAAGTGTATTAATTTTGGCTAGAGCTTAATAATGGACCCTGAGAATTTTTCCAGTTTAGTAATAAGTTAACACTGATGTGGTTTTGACTCCTTCTAATTATTTTGAAGAATATTTGGCTGGGAATATAGCTCCCGGGTCGGGCACTTACCAAGCATGTGTGAAGTCCCATAATCATACCATAAAAGGGTTTTGTTTTAAATGTTTTATGAGATAACATAGCAATGTAAATAAAATAAAAACATTTTCATATACTAATATTTATATATAGTGTTACCTTTGCATTTCATTTTGTTAATTCAAAGGTTATTATTTGCAATGAATTTTTAAACTCAGGCTATCTCAATTTGTAAAAAAAAAGGGTCACATTTTATGAAAAAAAGAAAAATATTTAATAAATTATTCATAATGAACTAGACTAGATTTTCCTTAAATTAATTATAATTTCTAAGATAAATTTGCTAATAAACTTTTTAATTGTTTTAGTGAGTTATTCAAATAAAAATTCACCTGTTATACATTTAATTTCTTGGTACTATTATACTCAAAACAATCATGGTAGATTTTTCATGTTATAGGATATTATATTTACTTGTAGAAATTTTGCTTGACAATCATTTTTAATCAGTCATTCTGTGTTTAGTCTTTAAGAAAAAAGATTTTTTTATGCCATGGAAACTCTCTCACTCCAAGTTAGATTGTAGTGTGTTACATCTATCATCACGATACATAGAAACATGGGTAGCACAGGCGTTTTTTGTTCCATTTCGAAAAAGGACTTCTCTGCTAGTTTACTAAAATACTAGGGAAATGTGGATAGGAAACATTTGAACTCTTCTTTAAAAGCAATCAAGGAGTCACCTTTATCTTTGCATTTCTTTGAAAGTCAGGATCTCTGTATTTTAAATTATTGCATGGTGTCAATTCCAGAATAAGTAGATCAGAAAGGTCAATTACTTTGATAACCATCATTTTCCTTCCTTACTAAAAACTTGTCCTGTCTTCCAACTGTAAATCTAACCATCCCAGTCGCTACCACTTCCCTCGATTTGTTACATGTCCTATTTCAGATACTGAACAAATATTGCTCATCCAGTTTTGCGTCAGTAACCCAGGAAATCTAAGGTGCTTTCTGATTTGCCTTTCCTGTTGCAGGTCAACAAAAATCTCTCAGTGACTTCACCACCACCAGGCCCTCCAAAAAAGCCGAGGGTGAAACAGTCATTTGTGCTGACCACTGATGAGATTATCCATCAGTTTGGATTCCCGCAGACCGGTGAGCAGCTTTCTTGCTTTGCATATTCTTTTAAGTGTCAATGCTATTTTTTAATGAATGTACTTATTTCTATTCAGAAAAAAACACTCCTGGCAATCTAATGGTCAGTTTTCACACTTGACAAAGAGATGCTCTCTCTCTTTTTTTCGTAAAGTCATAGAAATGATTTTAAAGTTCAGAATTGATAGCTTTAACATTAACTACCTTGAACTTATTTGCTGTTAAAGAGATCATTTAAAACTTGAAAAACCATAAGTTTTAAACATGTACAATATTAAATCTGATTGAGCTTTTCAGTTGAATAAAGGAATAATGGCTTATGGATAATTTTATTTTTAACTGTTTGTAAATTTTATATAAAGCCAAAATAATGTGCCTTTTGGTGGGATATCACAGTGATATCACAGACCTTCAAGTTTCAAGTTAATAGAATATACAAAAAGTCTACTTGAAATATTTACATTAATTACTGAATTGAAATGAATTGTAAAATTGCAAATTTTAGACTGTTTTAAATGCACATGAGTAAGGTCTTCAAAGAATATTAAAGAAAAATATCTATGCGAAATGATAATCATTGAATTGAAGGATGACTTTCTGTTCATTTTTTACAATATTCTACCTACTACCAAGTTATTTAATCAAGAACTGAAGAAAATCACAAAGTACTTATCTGTGATGAAGAGATTAATACACAAATTTTTAGCTTCAATAGCTGAACATAATTTACTCAGAAATTTGGGGACCGTAACACTTTTCTGTGAAAATATTTGGAATTTATCATTATAGAAGTTCTGTTAATCTCTATGTAAATTATATACCTTAATGAGGAAACACTTAGATTTAGAAATCTTACATATAATCCTTGCTTTTATTATGCCTGTTAGAATTTCTATTACAAAACTGGAAATGGTATTTGATGAGGTAACTCTTCCTTTGAGGTGACATGAAAACATTCTGTAAGTGTAAGGTGCTCTACAAATTTGACATCTACATCATAAACATGCTTGTGTGCCAAGTTTAAAAACACTTGAAATCCTAATTTCAAATCACTATAATAGCTAAGTTGTCCCATCTTAGAAGCTTTAAATTTCTAATGTTCCAGATGTCCACTAGAATTTATAGCAATAATATCAATCACTGTTATTTATTATGGAAAGTGTACCATGTAGTACTCATCACACTTTTATTCTTTATGCCTCACAGAAATATTTGGCTTGAGTTTAGAGGTTATCCTTTTAATGGCGAGAAAGGAAGGGACCTCTCTTGTCCATCAGTTCTTACTGTTTTTCTGCTGAGGTCAATTTTTTTTTTTCTGGGAAGAAAATTTGTCTCAAGGGCATAGATGTTGAGTGTCTGGTTGCATTACTATATTATCTTAAATCAATTTGAGAAGCTTTTTATGTCTGTGAGCCAATACAGGATAGCTAATATAAACATGTTCATGTTCTGTGGAGGGAAAGACTAGAAAGGATAGATGGGAAGGTTCTTGCAGTTGAAGAGTGATTATCACAGAAACAGATAACAATAAAGACTCAGAACAGAGACACAACTGGGTCTGATAAAGGGACTCTTGTAAACTTTAGAAACTTAGATTGGAGTCGTTCTGTTTACCTTAAACTTTCATAGCAGTGGATTCTATGAATTTGTATATTTGTGTCATGAATATCTCTTCATAGGCATACTATCTCAGAGACATTACCAGAGAGCCATAGGGTACAGGTAACGTGGCTACACCTGACTTTTATTTTGGTCACTAATATGTTTGACCTCATTTTAAGTCATATTCTTCCTAGGAAGTTCTTATATAATATGTATTATATATAATAAAACAAAAATATGTGATCAGTGATAAAATGACCACTAGCTGGGCAATGATGGGACACGCCTTTAATCCCAGCACTCAGGAGGCAGTGGCACACAGATCTCTTCAATTCAAGGCCAACCTGGATTATCGAGTGAGTTCCAGGACATTCAGGGCCACACACAGAGAAACCTTGTCTCAAAAAACAGACAAGATTCCTGGAGGAAATCCTCACTCACAGCCGGGTGGACTGATGGTCAGACCTAGCCAGCCCCAGCTGCGGTTGACTGTAGAGTCCTGAGCAATGTCTTCAGGCTTCAGTTTTCTCAACCCTACAGACAGCTGAGGCATTTGGTTTCTGTCTGAAAATTCTGTAATTCTAGGGTTTGTGTAGGAGGAGACGGGGGAGGAGCCGCAGTGAATAGGATCAAAATGCATTGTCTGTCATTCTTAAAGAATGGATGAAAATATTTTAGAAAAAATGTACTGCTTATCTGATGTTCAAATAAGTTTTAATGGGGATAAATAAGTGTTCTTAATTACACAAATCTGTTAGGCTATGAAGTATAGGAACACCAAAACAAATAATATACATATAATATTTAAAAACAGAAATCTTGGGGGTTGGAGAGAAGACTTAGTGCTTAAGAGCGAATACTGCTTTTGCAAAGAACCTGAGTTCAATTTCCAGTACCCATGCCAGGCAGCCTGTAACTCCACTCCAGGGATCCAGTGCCCTCTTCTGGACTCCACATGTCCCTGTACTCAAAAGTGCACATACCCATATATACACATACACAGTCACACATGACTAAAAATAAAATAAATCTTAACATATATTTATATGTATATATACATATTACACACACACACACACACACACACACACACACACACACACACACACACACACACGAATAGAAATCTTAACTGAAAACTCAGATGAAATATGCAGGCCCTGCAATCTTTAGTATAAGGAAAAACTATTTGTCCAGAGTTGTAATGGATAAGCCCACTAGTACTCACGGAAAGAGACTTTGCATTTTAGACTATGTATAAAAGTGTTTGCATGCTAGAGTCTGTACTCTGAAGTGAGTTTATGTTAACCTTAGTTACTCAAAGCAAGTTCTAGGAAATTGGGACTGCTAGAAAAGTAAGCATTTCTTTCTTACATGGCTTATAATCCTAAACCTTGTAAAGTATTTCCTTATTTATTCTGAAATTATTGTAAATGACTCTTTGCTGTAGCCTGTCAAGGTCATGTAGTAAGTATTACAGTCCCTGCCTTCAAGAAACATATGCTGAGCTTGGGGAGACATTGAGTTTGTAGAAAATGAAGTTAGTGTCGTAAATTCTGGAAGTGCAGGTTTAAAGACAATGCTGCAGGAAAGCAGTAGCATAGAGCAGTTAAGAGGCTCCTGGGCTGCACATCCAGACAGAGCTCTCCTGCCTCGCCCCCATCTCCACTGCTGAACAGCATGTCCCTGCACTTCCACCCATTGCTCAGGTGCTTGTCCCAAAGACAGGTGCGGTGAAACTATACCAAACCAAGGAGTTCACTTTTAATTTTCTATGGAGAATAAAATTACCAAAGCCTGACTATGAAAAGTATATCATCTGTTTTGAGATAAAAATAGGTTTTTTAAAAAGCATTACTGATAGCTATGTGAGAGACAAGCTAAAGTGGGAAAGAGCTCCCATGAAATACTTAGTTTAGGTATTATTCGTTGAGCTATTTCTCCAAATCCCCTTTTTAAAATTTAAACTATATCTTTAATAAGGAATTTTTAATGGAATTCTAATTTTAACACTTTACGTGAAATTATAGCTTATATAAATGCTTTATGATATAGTGAGCAAGCTATACTATATCTTAAAAATTGTTTTCAAGAATTGGAGAGATCTCAAATTAGTAAGTTAACAGTACAACTGAAAGCTCTAGAACAAAAAGAAGAAATAATGCCCAAAAGTAGATGATGAGAAATGCTCAGATTCAGGGCTGGAATCAGTAAAATAGCCACAACAACAACATCATCAAGAATAATATAAATAATCAATGAAATAAAAGAATTGGTTCTTTGAGAAAATCGTTAAGATTGAGAAACTCTTAGCAACTTAAATAAAATGCAGAGAGATGATCCAAATTAACAGAATTGGAGTTGAAAGAGGGAACATACCAGACACTGAGGCCAGAGAATCCTAAGGACATTCTTATAAAACCCACATGCCACTAAGTTGGAAAACCAAAATTGCTTCCATACTTCTTTACTATAATGAAGAAATACCAAATAATAGCACCTTGTATTTACATAAGCATGTAAAGTGGTTTATGTGTATCTTCATTTACTCCACAACAAAATTCTGTAGAAGTTAACCATGAATCATGCTGAGTACAATCATTTAAATCTTCCAGGAGCTTAAAGCTACCATTCCCTGAACTTACAGTGAATCTGAGAAGCAGGGCACTGGTTTGCCATGAGTCATGCAGCCACTGGCAGCCACGTACGTCTTCTAACTCAGTGCATCACCCGCACCATGCAGACTGCCAGTCCCTAAGGAGGGAACACATGTGGGAGATCCAGTTTAGTCTTGTTCAGGGGCCTGGGAGAGGTTGTACTTCTAGCCGCTTCTCTGTCAGAAGGGTATGGTCACTTTCCTTTGCCAGGTTTTCCAGAAAAATAGTAACTTCACTTTTGGGGAAAGTATGGTTTTTGAGACTGAGGTGTCAAGCAGGAGATCTTAGTTCTTGATTATTAATGAACTCACATTATTGACCTTTAGATAGAATTGTGCTTGCCATTTATGAGGGTTTTTTGTGTAATGTGGTATTTGATCTCTAGTGAAACCAGCAGCTCTCTGGAGAGAATTTTATTCTGCATTGTTCTGTCTAAATCTAGGTCCCATTTAGCCACTTTTGGGGAGTCTTTACTGTAGAGCTAGGGTTTAAAACATGAAAGTAGACCTGGGGTCCATCCCTGTCGTCCCACTCACTCAAAAGGCAGAGGCGGGAAGAATACCCGAGCCTACAGCTTCAAGACCAGTCTGGACCACATACCAAGATCCTAAGTGTGGATTCTTTAGTAAGAGACTCAGTCACTGTTGTGAGTAGATAGGGGAGAAAACCATCAAACATTTTTGTTGCTGGCACTGCAGTGTTTGTATCATCTCTACAAGTTATTGTTCAAAGAGAATATTT